TTCTGGGCCACAGACTACGGAAATATGCCGATCGATCATCGATACCTGTTCACAGAAATATTTGATACGTTGGTTATAGGTTTATAAAATAGAATCTTCGGAATATGGTAATCGCAACCTCGAATTTAGTTTACTTTCATCTGTTTCTATGTCACATTTACTTTTTATATGTTTGATTACTAATCTTTTTTATTTACGTATGTCATCCTGACATTACAGACTTCAAAAACTGTCCCAAAAGTGTCCTATCATTGTCTATCTTCACTTTCCTCTTCCATTTCGTTCATCCAATTTCGTCACCTCATTTTTCTCTCTCATTTCTCTATTTTTTCTATTTTTCTTTTTTTTATTCGTGATGTATTATTCTATTGCAAACTATTATTATTAAACTTGTTATATTGGTATACAGGGTGCTACAAATTCGGGGTACGAGCATTGGTTAAATTGACTAAAGATGGTTAAATTGACTAAACTTAAGATGGTTAAATTGAGGCAATGTGGCCCTTCTTGGTATGTTCACAAGATGCCATCAAAAAAGTTTTAAAAATTTCAAGGATTGCTGAGTTTTTGAAAGAAAAAACGGATTTTTTTGAAAATCAATTTTATTTTTTCCTGTCGTTACTATTTAGAAAATCAAAAAACTAATTACACATTCTCAGCCACTTTATTAAGACTATCTGGTAGTATTTTTAGATTTTCAAATTATTTGATAATTTGTGAGACAGAGAGGCTAACTATTTTTTTTTAAAAACGGACCTGCTTTTTTATTTCAGGTTTTAAAAGAACTCAGTATCCTGAGTAAAATGATATGCCACACTTAATACTTTTTTTTTGTTTTGGATACCGAACAATAACAAAAATATTTAATTATTATATAAAATAATTTTAAGTCCGGCTCAGTAAAAATATTGAACAGAGCTAATTAACAATGTGTGGATTTGAAATCTCAATGTCTAATACATATTATAATCTAATAATATGCATAATATTAATCGTAGTAAATGTAAAAAAATCCACTTTTACAAACTAGTTTCTAATGCTCTACATGTTCGAAAGGGTTACCACCCTTCCTGATGCATAAATTTATTTTTCGTTTAATCTTATTTATGGCTCTTTATACTATAGAAACCGGTGATAATTGTGAAAAAGTGGCATTAAAATTTTAAAAAGCTGTGTGAACTGTGAACTGCAAAAAAAAATCATAGTGGATCGTGGCATAACGTCGCCGTCGTCGGTTTCCAGTGTTTCATAGGTATTTCATACATGTCCTTATATAAAATAAAATTTCTTATATGCAACATACTGTATTTTATTTAAAAAATAGAAAAAAAATAATAAATTTGAATAAACAATATTTGTCGACATAATTCCGGAAAAAACCGAACCGCTCCGAAATTATCAAAAGCTTTGGAGAACGACCGTTGTAAGAATAGCGCCACATAGTACTTACATTATCCTGCCTGCCTGCCTGCCTGCCTGCTGGCACCCGAGAATCTAGCCATAATTTTTGGTGGTGGTGGGGGTTGGTAAAGGGGTATGGGAGGGGGTTAAAATTTAAAAAAAACCGTAGCTCCAAAATTACAGTAGCTAGCGAAACGCGGTTTTCAATTTAAGATTAGGAGTAATATTGGCAACAAAATTTGTAATAACATCAAAATCAGTCAAGTCGCAGTTTTTGAGATAAAAAAAATTGGAAAAATTCCTTTACTTTGAAACTAAAAGAACTGCCTACCAACTTTTTATTAACATATTTTAGTATGGGCGGCTATACGTGCCTCCTGGCGCCAATTTTTTTTATTCATGTCATTGTGCGTGTCATTCCAAAGCGAGTCTTATTATAGTAAAAATATTGAAAAACAGTGACAGTGTTCTCTAAAGATGCGAGTATTTACTCGCCAACAGCAACTCTCCTTTGAGTCTAGAAGAGTTTTTTAGAAAGGAATTTTGCAGAGCGTGAGAATGAGCCAAAAGTAAACGCAAAATACCAGCCAGATGCTCCTAAAAGAGAGAGAAAGAGATAAAAAATGGTCGGTGAAATGTCGGCGATCGTCTTTGCCGGCCAGTCAATCAAAAAATTTAAAAGTCGTACCTTTAAAATCGACACTGACCGACTTTTTTTAGGTTTAATTATACCATAACGGTACAGGACTACATATTCGAACACAAACATAGATTTATTCTAACATCTGTAATGGTTTTTGCTTATGTAATTTATCATGTTCTTATTTAATTTATCATCTCGTCTTAGTTTTGTTTATAAATACCGAAAAAAAACTATGTATATACACTGTGCCAATTTTAAAACTTCCCACCCTTAATATCTTTCTTGCAGTTAAAAATATGAAAAATCGGAAAGACACGTCAATTTTATTTGTAAGTGGACACTTTAAATTAATATATTTAGCCTCTTTCTTTCAACCCTCTAGGGGGGTAGATGTTACCTTTACAATCTTAAATGGGAATGGGGGTCACGTGGCACATCGTTTTAGAGGGCGTTTATTTCTCTTTTCAGTGGTATCCTACTTTGGTGCTTTTGTCCAGAGGTTTCCGAATAATCGCGTTTCAAGGTTGCAGAAACAATTAAACATGCCTGCATTATGATCTTGGGGTTTTCAGGTTAAAAAAAATATTGTAATGGACCTCCTTGTAGTACAAATAATTAGAAGATTAGGTTACACCACTTACGCTTTATCTTATAAGTTGTTTAAAATATTGTCCATTTTTCTATAAACAATAATAAAGTTTGTATTCAAACTCCTCCCTAACATTTCGGAAAACTTTACCGAGAATTGACCGGCATTCTGCTGTAATTCGCCTTTTATAAGATCATCGATATCAGTAGATTGAGTGTTATAAACAAGGGATTTAAGATGTCCACAAAGAGAGAAGTATAGGGGTGTTAAATCCGGTGATCTTGGAGGACATTCAATTGGTCTTCTTCTGCCAGTCCATGTACCCGGAAATCTCGCGTTTAACCACTGTCGAACCGAAAGAAAATAATGAGGTGGAGCACGTCGTGCTGGAATGTTAACAAATCCTTCTGTAAAACTGGATTCCCCTCTGCATCAATTTGAGTTTCCAGCTCTTGGATGATAAAGGATCAATAGTCTCTTAAAGCATATTACGATACAGATCACCTGTCAAGTTTCCTTAATAAATAAAGGACTAATAATGGCATTCCCAAGAATACCATGCCAAACATTAACCTTTTTGGGATATTGTGTATGTCCTTCTCGAAAAATATGAGGGTTTTCGTCACTCCAATGTCAACAATTTTGTTTGTTAACATTTCCATTTAGAAAAGACAAACATTAATCGGAAAAACAGATATTCGGCATATATGTGTTAGCGCTGGCGTTGACTTGACGACTCATGATTTCACAAAACTCTATTCTTCTATCTAAATCACCGTCATAGAGTTCTTGAAGTATCTGCATTTTATATGGATGGAATTTATGCATTTTCAGCGTTTTTTTTTTCTTTCACAGTCTCGCGTGATATTCCTATCTGTTATTCCCATGTGTCTCTGCAACAAATAATTCCAAAATCTCAATATAAGCTCTTTCATTCATCACTCGTAGGTTATTTCTTTTTCTATTACTCACCGAATCAGTTTTGGAGAACTAAGAATATACTAGGTGTATTTCAAGAAGATATTTTAACTTCTACAGGGTGGCTCTAAAAGTGTAAGTGGATCGGGATGACTTTTTTAAATGGAACATAAAAATACTTGTATATTAGCCTCTCATTAGCCCTGTATATTATTGCATTTTTTGCTTCCTTTCTGATCACTTCACATAATCCTAAGATATTATTAAATATGTTTCGACAGTTTTAGAGATATTAATAAATAAATAAAAAAAGATGAAAAAATTATTAAAAATACAAATTTAACAAACATTTTTGACAAAAGACCTTATATAAACGACATTCTAAACGTATAGTTTAATAGAAAAACAATTATTTTACTTAATAATACGATGATAGGATATAAAAAATAAATATGAAAAGCAGATATTAAAAATAGTTTTTTAATAAAAAATGAATGTGTATACAATAAAATAAGCAAGTGTTTTTTTTCTATACAGGGTGGTCCGATTTGTATTCCGGAAACTTCGGTAGCATATTCTGAGGATAAAATTAAGTAAAAAACGTCGTATAAATGTATGTCCTAAAATAGCTTAGTTTCGGAGTTACAGGGTGTAGAAGTTTTATATTTAATTCGATTTTTTTCAAATAATTTCTGAACTATCGTTAATATTTGGATGAAAATCGGTGCCTGGGAGTTTTTTGACATTAGAAATTTGATTTTGATGTCAATATGACTTCTATTTGTAGGGGGCGCCACCTACATGTGTTTTAACTGTTTTGAAGAGTAATAACTTTTCGTCCGTGCCTGTAAAAAACTACTGAGTGAAAAAATATACATTTCCCTGACTTTGTACGTAAAAAATGTCTCTTGGTAAAAATCTCAATGAGCAACCGTTCTCAAGATATTTAGAATGGAAAAAGTCAATACATATCATTATTGACAGAAAATAAACATGTTGAGTACATAGTTATTTGACTAAAATGATTGATTTGACTGATGACACAAAACATTTCAGATTTATGATTTCAGTCTAATAACTATCTAGTCAACATGTTTCTGTCAGTGATGAGAGGTATTGATAATTTCGATTCCAAATATCTCGAGAACCATTACTCGTAGCGATTTTTACCAAGAGATCTTTTTTACGTAAAAAACGTCGCGAATGTATATTTTTTTACTCAATGGTTTTATACAGGTACGGCCAAAAAGTTATTCCTCTTCAAACCAGTTAAAAAATATTAAGGTGGCGCCCTCTACAAAGGAGTCATATTGACATCAAAATCAAATTTCTCATATCAAAACACTTCCAGACACCAATTTTCATCTAAATATTGACGTTACTTGAGAAATTATTTAGAAATATTCTTAATAAAAATGAATTTTCTAAACCCACCCTGTATCTCCAAAACTAAGCATTTTAGGACATACGACCTTTTATACATTTTTTTATTTGTAGAGTATGCTGCCAAAGTTTCTGGAATACAGTTCGGACCACCCTGTATATTGTTATAATTCCTTCAGCCTTCACTGTGTCGGGAAGAAGATAGCGTATGCTTGCTGAGTTTAAACATTGAGGAAGGTATAAAAAATGGAGGATCGGCGCTAGGTACTGAAATGGTGTCGTAAGATTCCGGTACTTTCCGAGCCTTCTTTTTCAAAGATCTTCTCTTAATCAAGTCTTCGAAGATGGCAAGCTCAGCATTGTATATTTCTTCAACGAAGGTTTCTTCTGATATTAGACCTGTTTTAAAATATATTTTACTTTATTATAAAATATACAGTGTGTCCCAAATATAATTAACGCTGGGATAAGTTGATTGGAATTTTTGATTCACCATTATTTTCAAATAAATACATATACGAGGTGGTTTTCAAAAGTAGCTTCCTCTATACCTTTTTTATTATTTCAGATAATAAAAAACAGATTTAGTATGTCAGTATATGATATAAATCAGGATTGATTGACGTATTCAATTAATTTCTGTCACCTCCTTTTTCACCAGCTATGATATCGACAACTTTTGATTTTTAAATGGCACCCTCGGTATTTTTTTACTTTATTTGATAAAAAATGACATTCTGAGTAGAGTGGCATATCATATGTCAATATTTGACATCTTGAACGTAAAAAATAGTATCGTTGATTGAAATAATTGGGAAGATACGCAACCTAATGAGCGAATTCATGATAAGGCTGATTTATTTCCACTTACGTCTCAAGTGCTGTACGGTGGAGCTTCCACTCGTTCTGCGACCAACGCATAAAACACTCATTTTCTCTAATTCGGCTAGCGAAGGCATATCGAAGACGTTGTAGAACTGAAAGCGACAGTGTTGCCTTATTAAAATGTGTAATATCTGTAATAGGTTTGACGAAAATATCTTTAGATGATAAATCCTCGTTTATGTATTGAAAATTTATTCGTGTAAGATACAGAATAAACACCAAAATAAAATAAAAATTATAGGTACTGAATATATCGAAATTATCAAAAAAAGACGTTTAGTTATAATGACGATTATTGACAATTACCATAATATTTTACATATGAGATAACACAGCGATCTTTATTTCCAAGCCAACTCTGACGCCGTTCTTTGTTTAATCATATAATATTATACTAAATTGTTTAATGATAGAATATTCGTATTATTAAGGTACTGTACCAAAAATCCGTAAATCTACCCCTCTAAAGAATTAATCAGCAGTTCTGGCAACACTGCTTCGGGCAACCACTCACTCTATCGACTGGAAGCAGAACTACGGCACAGTATTCTTTCTCCGCTGCGCTATAAAAGACTATCAGCGCGTAGCGGCGCAGAGCTAAACTAAATCTCGAACAGGCTGACGGTAACGTCAGCTAGATCTCGATATTCAAAGATTTTGTGCCACAAAATCATCCATAAGGTCGGCATCTTCTTATTTCTTCAATCAACAATAGTATTTTATATATCTTGAGCTATAGTGGAAAAGTGGAAAAAAAGAAAAATAGATTTGATCTTCAAATATTTTTCTTGACTTTTCTTGGCTGGTTAAAAGATAAATCGTATTTTTCAACATCATAACTCAATTTTTCCAAATGGAAAAAACGCAGCTCATTAGCACATTTTTACGAATAGTTTAGTACCACACACTTGCTATATATATTTCAAGTAAAATTTTCGTTATGAACATGCAGATAATTGAAATTTAAAATTATCGAAAATTTAGATCTTTTATTTTATTTATTTGGAATTTAGAACAATGTAAATATGCAAATCAACACAATTAAAGAGCTATAAACCAATAAACTACTGTATCAATATCAAATATTTAAATAATATCAGAGATGCTGTGTTAAAGTGAATTAGTAAAGTAACAGTGCATTGACTTACAGAAACTTGAAGATAAATAAATGTTTTCACAGCTTCACGGGCATAAAACTAAATAACTGGAAGCAGGAAAAAGGCAACCGGAACCCACACAAAACCTGGAGTCAAAAAAAATGTAAAAACATAAATATAGGTACATAAGACTTTTGTGAATTAAATCAAACAGGACTTGAATGAAAATAAAATGAATAAAAAATATGATACATATACATCTAATACCTCATTTGTATTTTAAAAATAATCTACATACATGAAAACTACATTAAAAAACTACATTTAAAAATAATCTACATGCATTATTGCTATGAAAATACATAATAGGTACCTATGTGATATGTAATTACGCATTTCTGTTCATCTTGTAGAAAATTAATGTAGGCTAATAATAGTTCAATAATCATAATTTTTACCTTGTATAACTTGCTTTCAATTGCTCAAAATCACCGATCAGTCTTTAAAGTAGAGATACGGAAAAATCCTTGGCAAAGAATATCCCAAGATCCTTGGGTTTAAAGCTAAAAAATATAAAACAGTTAATATGTTACCTATTTTTACATATAATATGGCCCATACCTACTACACGCAGAAACGTCGATTTCATCATTTTCTTCATGTAATTAATATCATATATACTTTATTAAAGTGTTAACAAGGAACTTTATATCAAAAAAACATCTTTGTACTTATAAATTTCAGCCGAAATATCAGAAACAAACTTCCAATCAAATCTAAACGGCAAAAATTAAAATGGCGCCCGACCTTGCCAGAGGCCTCGGGAGCTGAAGCTGACACACAGACAAAAGACAAAAGAACAGGACGCCGACGTGCATAAAAATGTTCCGTAGCAGAAATTGACAGAAATCATAATCATATAGAAATATTCAGATTTTTGTCTAGGACAGTCTAGAAGGCCATGCTTTCTGCCTGGGTAGAACCGCGCCACAACTGTTTCCAATTTTCCGGTTTACTGTCACCCCCCTGTGTACGGCTGTTAAATACCTTTTCTCAAATCTAATCTAAATATATGAATGTAATTATTTGTGTGTTAACTTTATTCCAAATGCTGGGGATCAAAATTGGCCTAGTGTTGGTGATTAAGTTTGGCCCAACTCTGGTAATCATGCACGGCCCAGCATTGGTGATCTAGCTTGGCCCGATTTTGACCACCAAGCCTGGCACGATGTTATCATTCCATTTTATTCCCAAAGCTGGGCCAAGACTTGCATGCATAGTTGGACCAGATCTTTACAGTACTGAACCAGTCCCGTACCAAGACTGGGCCGATGGTTTGATCCTGTAAGGAAGTGACCGAAAATAATTCAATACGTCAATCAATCCTGATTTATATCATATACTAACATAGCAACATGATACCAACTAGCGTTCTTTTGTTTGAAAAAATAAAAAAGTTGTAGTGGTGAGCAACTTTTGAAAGACGCTCGGTACATAAAAAAAGGTTCAAAAATCGTTTGACTACACTTTTTAAAAGCTTTCGTTAAACCTACTCAGTCTCTTTTTGAAACATTCGATTCAAAAGTTAGGTTTATAAACTTATAAACCATCCAGCCCACAAATTATTTTATTAAGGCTGTTCTAAACTAGCGCGATACAGTTACACCAATTAAACGTAATTTACAGCCTAGACAACGCCCTTGATCACAGTACCTGCTGAAGATGATTAATGATAATTATTGTAATTTATTTATGTTAAAACTGGCCCGGCATTATTACTATAGACCATTAATTATTTGATTTCCTACCGTGACCTTTTTTCTGAACGTTTTACGATAGCGAGTGAATTTTTATGTTGAATATTTAAGAATCCGGTAATTTATAGGTGCTAATTTAATTGGTTTAAAATATTACACTTTTCTATGGTTTTACAACTTTCTAACGCAAAATTTATACTAAAATATTACAGCCATAGACATATACAGGGTGCTTCAAATTTTACGAGCATTGGTATCTCGGTAACCGTAATATACTCTGTTTTTTTTTCTCAGGTAAGATTTCGACAGACGATGACAGAAAAAAAGCAGATGACGTCCCATACCAATCTATTTATTTTACTAAAAAAAAGTTTCTAATAATTTTTAAGTTAACTATGGATGGGTTTAAATATAAATCCGTCATACGTCGTCTCTTGTTGTTTTTAACCAGTTTTATTGGTTTATTTCAAAAATGACAGATCGTATTTCAATTTTATTGGTTCGACGGAACGATGAACGACAAACGGACGCCGATGTGTATGAACTCGCCTTTAGATTTTTGACGCTTGTCAAAGTCTTGCCAAATTATAGGTTATAATTTTGTGTCAACTTTTGAACTTTTGTCAAATACCCTGCGTTTTGGAAAATGATGCTCATTGATTCGTGTTATTACGTGTATTTTGTGTCTTTTGAAGTCAAGTGGAGGAAAAATCGAGTGAAAATTAAATGTAGACCCAGAGCACGGTTTATGGTTAATACTCGCTGCCCAGGCAGAAAGTCTTATACACCAATAAATTTACCATCAATAAAGTTCGTATACCATCTCGTAGATAAGTGCATCTCGAATATGGTAGAAGGACCATACTAAACACATACTAAAAACTGGAGTAGCTGTAAATATCGAAATCACACGATAGGTAAATCATGGATTTTAGTACTGCAGAAAAATAATGTCAAAAGTTACTGGTTTAAAAAAATTAAGATTAAAGTTAATTAATCAACCTTTGAGGTATAAAATTTGGTAAGTGTTATTATTAATGAAATAGTTTGTTTTATTTATGTTGTTTTATTTATTCCTGTGGAATATTACAAATTTGTATTTGAACATAAGTTGTATTGTTAAATATAATCATAAATGCGGGAAGTTTCATAAAGCTTGAAAGTAAGAAATAGTTCTTTTTCATATTTTTTTGGTATGTGGTGTCTTGTTCTTGTTTGTTTTGTATTAACACATACCGTTTTTTATTAAATAAAATAACTCGATTATATTTTTTCAGTTTTATACAGTTTTTTTACAATATTTTGAAGTAATCACTTGTCAGTCAAATTTTTCACTTGTCAATTTCCTCCTATGCGTTCAACTTGTACCAACTTATTTCTTTGTAAAATACAATAAACTACTTTGAAATTAAAATGACAGAAACATCTATCACTGTCAAGGATCTTCTCGCTGGACAGACTATAGATATGAATATGATTAAATAGAGACAAAGTTACGCTTTGGGATGTTCACCAAGATGAACTCGGTCCACCTGAATACAAGGGTATGCCACACTTAACATATTTTTTTTTTGTTTTACACATTTGAACACAATTTATTTTAACTAATTTCAAGTCCGGCTCTGTTTTTTTTTTAATTTAATCTATTCATTGTTACAATATTGATTAGCTTTCAAACCTGAGCTTTCAACAATGACGCGGGGTAAATCATTGAATAAGAAAAATCAAATCCGATAAAATAATAAAGAATAATATAAAATAAATAATATAAATATAATATCATATAAATAATCAAATGATTTCCCCGGAAGATGAATTGGAAACGGTAGAGGGTAGAGCAGTATAATGGACAGCAAAGTTCCTGTCACCAAGGGCGAAAGGGGGGGGGGTGTGTGCTTACTACGTCATTTGTAAAAGTGAAATCAATACATCTCAACATTTGCAAATAAAGAGTACAAAATGCATCTGGAAGTATAAGAAGAAATCTGTTCAAAGAGCTATAAATAAAATTGAATAAAAAATAAATTGGTACAATAGGGAGGGTGGAAACCCTTTCGAACATGTAGCATTAGAAACTAATTTGTAGAAGTTCATTTATTTATAATAACTACGATTAATATGATGCATATTATTAGATCGTACACAAAGATTTCAAATTCACAATAAAAAAAATTAAAAATAATATCTTTAAATTGCTGACCTGGATGTTATTTATTTGAATCTTTCAATTGGCTGGATTTTCCTAATTCAATGTTAATTAGCGGTGATCAATATCGGTGAATATGAATATAATCAGATTAAATTATTTAAAAACCAGAGTCAGACTTGACATTATTTTAAATAATAATTAAATAGTTTTATTGTTGTTAAGGTACCCAAAACAAAAAAAAAGTATAAAGTGTAGCAGATCATTGCACTCGGGAGACCGAGATCTTCCAAATCCTGAAATAAAAAATGCAGGTCCCTGTTTAAAAAAATTAACTTGATATCTGTATGTCAGAAATTATCAGCTAATTTGAAAATCTAAAAATACTATCAGATAGCCATAATAAAGTGGCTGTGAGAATGTACAGCTGGTTCCAAAAAAAAATGAATACGACTCTTTACACATTTTTTTCGAATATTTGAGCAGTGTATATTTAAGTGTCAAGTATTTTGGCATGTTAAGGTTATTGTGACATTGAATACAACAACATTGCTTTTGACAAAGTGGCAAATAAACGTTTCAGAATGTCCGCATGACATGAGTAAAGAAATGGAGGACTGGTATCATAGTAATAAAAATTTGGCAAATACTGCCCGAAATAATAAAAATATGTTTTAAATCGTATTCAATTTTATTGAATACGATTCAATACCAAACCATACCAAACCAGACCAAACCAAACCAATACGATTCAATACCAAACCATACCAAACCAGACCAAACCAAACCAAACCAGCTGTACAATTAGTTTTTTGATTTTCTAAAAGGTAGAAAAAATAAAATTGATTTCCAAAAAAAATCTGTTTTATCCAAAAAGCTCAGTAATCCTTGAAATTTTTAAAACTTTTTTGATGGTATCTTGGTGAACATCCCAAGGCCCAACTTGTTTCCGAGACACCAATGATCGTACCCCGAATTTGTAGAACCCTGTATAAAAGATAAATAAACATTGAAAATGTGAGAATGTAGAATGAATGGGTGGGGGTTGTAGAATATAGAATGAGTGTGAGGTGGGTTAATCATCGCGACTTATTGCACCGATCTATAGTGTCCCCTTTTCTTGAGTTATAACTCACCATACATGAGGATTTATCTGTTATATGGGGTCAGGGTATTTCCCAACCTCCTCTGGACAACAAATGTTCTTCCTCCGAGGGTATACACCCTTTCATCCCATAATTGGGAGGATTAATGGGAATGGGGGGTGGGTTAATCGCCGCGACCTTACTCTTACTATATCTATCTAACCTATTACTCTCTCCTCAATGAATTCTTTAGTAGACTAAAGCTGAGAAACAACAGTGAATGCAGATTCTGTGCTGAAAATAGGGAAACACTAGAACGCCTCATCACTGCATGTGCCGAGACGAAAACCATTCATGTTATAAACTTTGGTACGACTGATATCGGAGATGGAGAACTAACCTCTGCAAAACCTCTGCAAATACTGGCTTTTATTAAAGCCCTGAGACTGTAGTTATAACTCAAGAAAGGGGGACATAATAGATCCTTAAGTCACAGTGTTTAACATCTACTCTCCCATCTCCAATATACAATCTCAAATCAACTCAGGATATAAAGGCCTGGTGACAAAATAATTAATAGAAAGCAGTACTGGTTTAGTGACAGTTATATTATACCTTCCTCTGAATATTCAGGATGTTCGTTAAATGTACAAATAGCCAGAGTTTGCATCGCAGTAACGTATTGAGCTGGTTCCACAAATCCCGATTTCATGCGATCCATCAAATGGAACAACTGGTGAATGTGCTTCTTGTCAAATAATAAAGGAGGATTACTCATACCCGATCTAAAATATTTATAAAAAACATTAATAGTGTAACATTTAATTTTTTAATTGTTTTGGTGCTAGCGATTACAACCTTATTCTTTGAATAAAAAGATTAAAGAAAGAGTATATATGCGATCCATGTATTCATGCATAGTAGGCAAAAAGAGAGCCCTAGGGTGGGGTGTCTTGACAGTCCTGTTTGATGATTTATATGGGTTTGATGATTTTTGTGGGTTTGTCAGTCTTTGCTGAGCTTATTTTTGTTATTTATTATTTATTCTCATACTGATATTGTTTAAAGGTAGTAAATCTAGAAGGAAATTGTGACAGAACTTAAATTAACAGTGGCACTATTGCAATTTGTCGAAAAAGACTGTAAATTAGTTGGTTGTGTAGCGTGCGGTAGATCTCGGTCATAAATCGAGGGAGATAATGAAATAACTTTCACTAGTAATACACTGAACCAAAAGTCGACATAAATATAATGAAAAAGTTCATTAATATAATGAATTAAATCATTAATTTTGGGCCGATGAACGATTTCATTGGCACAATGAAAAGTAATTCATTAACTCTATGAACTTTAAGTTCATTAAATCAATGAACAGTGTTCATTAATTTGAAGAACACATTCATTGGTACAATAAACAGATTTCATTAATATTATGTACCTGAATCGTTATATTAATGAACCGTTATCATTAATACAATGAAATAATTTCATAACCTATTTAGTTATACATTTAAAAGTCGACACTATTAGTAACTCTTGATACACTTGGTACACCGTATAATCGATGATGAAGATCGCTGTCATTGATATGAAATGTCATTCATAGTCATTTCCCAGCCAACTACCTGAAATAATTCTACTATAAATAGATTTCCATTTGAACAAGCCCTTAGCTACAAAGGTAACAAAATTACTAATAGTGCCGACTTACTTACGAGCACAGTAAATTTTTCCATTAGGGATTATTAATAAAAAAACAAGTGCAATAAACTAATAATAATTTATTAAACTCGATATAGCATAATATACAAATAAAAATTTAAAAAATCGAATCGACGAAGAGAATAGTAATGTTATTATTAATTTGAGGGTAAATTATAATAAGAAAATTAATTTACCAGTCGATATCCTGAGGGATTTCTATAAAAAGACCATTTCTTCATTATATTAGCTGTATCCTTAGACTTGATAACGTCTAGACGAATTTGCAACAGGCTTTCCAAGTCGCATCAAGTGGGTCCGATGTTAAATTGTCGAATTTGAGGGCTTAAAGGCAGGTCTCAACATCTTCTTCCGGTTCTAAAAGACCTATATCAAAATAATTAAAATGCTAAATATTAAAAGAACATTCGAATTTACCATAATCAGTTCCATGCCTCGACTTGTTACTATATTTTTCTTCTTTTTGTGTTTTATCTTCTGAAACATATTTGGAAACCGCTGTTTTAATGAATACCCACACCAGAAATCTCACACAGCGGAATTTGATTTGACAACGCAACAAATTAACTACAATACGATAGGACTTTTATTTAAAATATTTAAAATATTGAAGGGAACACTTACCGCTCTAATGAAACTAAAGCCTCACTGAATAACTCAACCACACAGACGTTATTAAAGTGCCAAAGTAACCGATCAACATGGCGGACATTTAAGCCCTAATATTTTATTCATGATATTAATAACTGCGTACATTAATATAATGTAGTGTGTTCGTTGTATTAATAACATTGTTCATTGTCACAATGTACAACTCATCAATCAATGATTTAGTACATTAATATAATGAATACGTGTTTATTAAAGTTTCAGCACTAAAATAAAGAAAGCGTTTATTGAGACAATGAACGCGTTCATTATATTAATGAAAATCTTACATTAATTTAATAACCAGGTTTTCATTATATTGATGAAATTAGATTCATAGTATTAATAAATCGGACATCGATCTATGATTAACAAATCATTATATTAATGAAAAAAATTATTGTCCCAATGAAACAACAGTCAATGTTCATTCATATTATGAACAATATTTTTTTCATTGTAATAAACATACCTGTAGTAAACCGATCATTTATGAGAAATTCACTTAAAATTGACTAATTATATATTTTTTCCTTATTTTTTCTTGCATTTTTGCTTTTATTTACTACTTGTCAAAGATTAGATGTCAAAGAATTTAGATACGTCAATTTGACTTACCTGCTACAGTATCGTATCGGATGTTTGTGTTAATAAAAAATAATTATTATAACTTATCTATTTTTATTAGAATTATATATTTTTATAGAACTTTTAATAACTACCAACATTTATTGACAACGTAAAATAAAACAACAAATTATTTAGTCTACCGTATATCATATTTTTACACGTTTTGAATAAAATTAAAACGGCTCTGATAAACCGTAATTTAAGTTGGCCATTTTACGGGTCCGTCGTGTTAGATCTAAGATTTTTGATATGCTTCTTCCTTAATCTTTTTATTCAAAGACCTTAATAAATCTACGTAACAAAGTTTTAATATTCACATTTTACCTGTATAACAAGCACTGATTGATCAGCTTCAAAATAAACTCAATAGGATTATCAGCCTTGGCGCTCAACAAATGCGCAACAATAAACTGAAAAAATTCGAAAATTCTGTGCGATCTCAGATATTGCTGAGACTCTCTTATCGACTTAGAGGTAGAATACTTGAAAGCGTCTACTGATTCCGCTTCTCCAATTTTGTATTCAGATTTCACCGATAATTCTTCTTCAGCAGCACTGTCTATACCTACAAAAAAACGAATGTCTTTATGGTCTGACATTATCCTTAATTATCCTTTTTTAATTAATTTCTAATTTGCTCAAGTGACCCATACCGGGTTGCATCGTCGGACGGGACATAGGAAATCCCATGTAAATTTTAATGGGGTCAATTATTGGCTTCCCTAATTATTTTAGAGAATAATTCTATTTAGGTTTATTAAAGAGCACTAAAACCCACATTCAAAAGAATAACTTTAGAAATTTTTGATTAGCTCGTTTACGAGTTATCGCCGATTTCTTTTTAAATATTTCTCCTTTTTTATGTACAGGGCCATAAAAAAGGAGAAATATTTAATTTACTATATTATTTACTTATGAGCACCAGTCAAGGTAAAAGAGAACTGTCAAATGAAGTTGTCATTTCAGAAATTTACCTATTTAGTGCTTTATTATTATTGAAAACTCATTCCTACATCGGAAATCTTAAAGATGTATTTATAAATACAAATTAATATGAATTAAAGTAAAACAAAGTAATCAATTACAAGGTTAATTATAGTATTATTACAATAATCAATAACTTATTAATTTAGGTACTATTAAATTGTTAGAACTTTAGGATTTAAGATGTTCAAATATTCCTCCATCGACTGCTAAACAATAACCAAGGCGATCATAAAATTCTCTTCTTACATTCGCTAGTTGGTAAAGTGAAATTCTATTACATTCGGCAGAAATAGCATTTTTTTAACTCGTCTAGATTTGGGTATTTTTTATCCTTGTATATTCTGTTTTTTAAATGGCCCCAGAGAAAGAAATCATTTGGCGAAATATCAGGAGACCTTGCTGGCCAATTTCCGGTATGATTTAGGCCAATAACGTTTCCGTTAAAAGTATTGTCTAAATATTCCCGAACAGCCAGGGTACTATGTGCCGGGCAGCCATCCATTTGGTACCAAACTTCCTGATTTTCCCTAGCGGCATCATGTAAAGCAGGTAAAATATGGTTTTCGAGTAGTTCCAAATAATATTCTGCATTTAAATTTCGCGTAAGAAATAATAGCCCGATAATATTGTGTCCAAATATCCCTGCCCAAACATTTACTTTCTGTGAATATTGCGTCCTTGTTTCGACAAACCTGTGTTGGTTTTCTTTATTCCAATATCGATAATTTTGAACATTGGGTTCATTATTTAAGGTAAACGTGCATTCGTCACTGAAACATATGTTTTTTAAAAATTCGCTATCCGTGTTTGCTCTTTCCATCATATCAAAACAAAACGCCTGCCGCCGTATTTCGTCCCCAGTTCTTGGTGCTTTTCATATTTGAAGAAATAGTATTTAAGTCGTTTCAAAATTCGAAACGCTGTAGTGTGATCTATTCCTATATCATCCTCAAGTTTCCATCATTGTGCTGATCTTTCCATCGTTCTCTTCCACGCACAATAAAACTTCCAAGTCGGTATCATTTCTTGCATTTTCTCTCTGTTTCTGCCTTGCTTCACATCTGCAGTTATTTATTAGAGTACCTTTGGTCTCAAATCTCTGGAAATTCCGTGCGATTGTAGATTTTCCAGGTATCGGTCTATTCGGATACAGAGTAGCAAACATGTCCGACACCTTTTGATAACTATTTCTTTGATAATACCATTTAATCATCAATACTTTTTCTTCGGTAGTGTAATTCATGGCTAATATTTTCGATGTAGTTATGAGTTTTTAATAATAATAATAAAGCATTAAATAGATAAATTTCTGCAATTACAACTTCATTTGACAGTTATCTTTTACCTTGACTGGTGCTCATAAGTAAATACAGGGCCATAAGAAAGGAGAAATATTTAAAAAGAAATCGGCGATAACTCGTAAACGGGTTAATCAAAAATATCTAAAGTTATTCTTTTGAATGTGGGTTTTAATGCTCTTCAATAAACCTAAATAGAATTATTCTCTAAAATAATTAGGGAAGCCAATAATTGACCCCATTAAAATTTACATGGAATTTCCTATGTCCCGCTCGACGATGCAACACCCGGTATGTTATAACATGCGAGTGCCATACAAAATTTTATCCAACAGCAGAACTGCTTCATGTCCAATCTCTAAAGAATAATTGATTTAAAAGGATCTACCAGTTCTGCTTTCATTGATGCGGATTAATAAATTATCAGGGTGCGTTTATGTTACTATGCAATGTACGTTTCGATTTTTGTAAATAATAAACAGCACTGACATTAAGATGTCGTTTAGAAAAATCGCGATTTTTTAACGATAAAATAGTGAATTATCAACCTGCAAGTCAGATTTTAAAGAAAAATGATTCAGGAAGATCTTCCGCAAGAAATTATTAACCAGGCAGAGGCGGCTACAGCACAAATACTGCCAGAAAAGTATCTATGAAATTTCTATAAAATGGTGTGGCTTTGAAGCTATAACAAGGCTATATATATACTGTTATAACACACTAGTTTGTTATAACTTCAAAAACTCATGCGTGTATTACTATTTATTTTATATGCATGTACAGGGTGGTCGAAATTGGTCTGTTTTAACAGAAAAAAACTATTTCCTGACTAGATAGAGCAAAACCAATAAGATGTCATGGGCTCGATTTCTGAGAAACGTTTAATGGCCTAAACCGCCTGTTCATATTTTCACTGCCAACCGATATACGGAGTCTTTTTGAATTTTTTTGAATTTGGAAAATTGCTCATAACTTTTGTATTTCCCGCAATAATAAAATTCTGTAAAAACGTTTTTACGGCACTTTTTTAAGCACAATCCAGTGGCGTAGTCAGTTTTTTCTGTACTTGTTTTTTTAGTCAGAAATAATAAAAAATAATATAATAATTTTTTAAATGGAAATCATAGTTGGCTATGACCTTAAAAAAATGCTGGCGTTTAACACTTTCCAACGATATATAGTTATGTGTATCTATTTCTAAAAATGAGAGAAATATTACGTTTTTTATCTTTGTATCGAAGTGGGCCTTGATTCTGTGTTGATCTATAGTTGCCTAATTATTTTTTATCACAATTTAATATTCTATGCCATTATTTATTTGCATAATTAAAGACTTTTGAAAAGGTAAATCAACGTTCAATATTAGTATTACCATTTACAATTAAAAAGCCAGGGTTACAACTGCACTATTAAATGGAGAATTTAGAGAGAATTGGATTGGAACAACGGATCCCATATCTTGGCCTGCTAGGTCCTGTGATGTAACTCCTTTTGGCTTTTCTTATGGAGGAAATTAAAAGGCCTTATATATAAGGGAAGAATCATTGGGACAAGAGAAGAATTACACACTGAAAAAAAGGATCTCTCAGTCGAAATGAATATGACTTTGACCCAAAAGATTAGCGCTTTTCAATAGGGCCAAGAACGACGTTTCTTTGCCCAAAGCATTAACTATCTTTTCATAAGCTTTAAAAAATTACTTTAGAGAATAGAAGAATATATCTGTCCAAAGTAAACTCTTCTACCTGTCCAAAGTAAACTTTTCTATCTGTCCAAAGTAAACCAAGAACTCTTGACCCAAAATGAATATGCAAAGAAGTTCTTGCTACAAGAACAATAGTCTCTTTGATTCATGCAAAAATTCTTGATTGAAAAGGGACATTTCTTTATTAAAGAGACAGTTTTCTTGAACCAATAGCGAATAATATTGACTTAACTAAAATTTATTTTGATCTAAGAGAAGTCTATACATCATATACAGGCATATTACGAGGTATATTATTTTCTGATAAATTTAGGTTTTCCTGGTCTGTAGTAAGTAAAGTGATATTATTTTCCTCGATAGTAGTTATTTCTGCTTCTTCACTCCTTGGTATTTTTTGGGGTGGTTCATCACTCTACAAATACAAAGAAATGTTACATCACGATTAATCAAAGTAAAGCAAATAAATTATTAAAATTATAAGCTTTGGTCACATTTTGAAATTTTTTATACGACGACTTGAAATTCTAAAATTTTTGTAATTATTTGCATAAAACAATCGATACCTATATTCTTATTCTATCTATAGTCACACATGCATTATCTATACAGGTGCAATAGGTAAATGTCTCTTATCTTCAAATATAGCAAATAAATGCTCTAATTTCCATTTTATCAGAAACTCCTTTAAAGAATCCATATATCCTAAAATTTGTCCTAATGACAAATGCATGTTAATAACGATCACTAATTTGTTATACGATATGCGTTTAAAAACCAAATTATGCAAAATTCCAAATAGAAAATTCCAAGCAACAAAACCCGTGCGTACTATGATGTACGACTGATCGGACTGCCGACTGATTGTATATACCGTCCTTCGTCATCGTCTTCGCGTGTCGTTAGTATTTTTCATCAAAAGAGTATTTAGCTATTGGAAAAATGGCCATGTTTCTTGAATGAAGTACTTCGTAGCGTGTTTTTCTTATTATCTTAAAACAAAGTAACTTGCACTTGGTTAAATGAAAATAGATTCAAGAGAAATTTTCGAATTTTTCAAGAGAACCAGTTTTCTTGAGTTAAGAGAGTTTTTCTTCAGGCAAAATATTTTCTTTTACGCTAAAATAAATTCTCTTGCCACTAAATTTTTTTTTCAAGAACGATGACGACTTTAGTTCAAGTATATCTTTTTTATCAGTGCAGAAGGCTACTAGGCAAGCTTTTGGACTTATTACACCAGTTTGCCTAATAAATTGTTGTAACTCTGTGCACAAAAGATGTTTATTGTGTATTCAACAAGGGGGTGCTCAGTTTGAACATCTTTGATGATTTTTTTCGAAAACTCTATTCGTCACTCAAAAAATACTTTTTTTTAGTTTTATTCTTTGTTTATTGTATCGATTTCAATTGTAATTACTAATACTAATATAGAATATTAATTTGCCTTTTCAAAAGTCTTTAATTTGCAGATAGATAATAATATAGAATATTAAATTGTGATAAAAAATAATTAGGCAAATAGGTCAACACAAAACTCAAAGCCCGCTTTGATATAAACATCAAAAACATATTTCTCTTATTCTTAGAAATAGATGTCTATAACTTTAGATCATTGGAAAGGGTAAAACGCCAGCATTTTTTTAAGTTCATAGCCAACTACGATTTCTATTTATAAAATTATATTTTTTTATTATTTCTGACAAAAAGAGCAAGCATAGAAAAAAACTGACTACGCCACTGGATTGTGCCTAAAAAACTGCCTTAATAACATTTTTACAGAATTTTATTATTCCGCAAAATAAAAAAGTTATGGACAATTTTCAAAATGGTAAAAAATTCAAAAAGACCCCGTATCTCAGTTGGCAGTGCTGACGCCATCAAACGTTTCTGAGAAATCGAGCCCATGACATCTATGTCGGTTTTGCTCTATCTAGTCAGGAAATAGGTTTTCTCTGTTAAAACAGACCAATTTCGAACCCTGTATATATGTGAGTAATGTCTGTATAAGTAGTGGCTGTTGGATAAACATATTTTTCTCTCTCAAGAAATGTTTTACCTAGCAAATAATCCAATTGTTTCTTGCTTCCGTGAAGTTTGTCGGTGAGCGATGAATCAGTTTGAGTCAGCAAATCACTGGTTGATCTAGGCGACTGGTCATCTGTTGATACCGTTAAAGTACCAAGTTCAGCAGCTAGTTCGACTTTCTCCTTTCTTTCTTTCTCTCTCAATATAGACAATCGAACTAAAACAAAAACCAAGTAAAGAATGAAGATAGCAATATCTGAATTCATTTAAAACAAACAAAATTAACTTTCTACGTTTTGAACCTACTGTTTTCGTCTCTCCATAACTTCCTCAATTCCCATTTTTTTCGTTCTTCCTGTGACATGTTCACCAATCTTTGAAAAGAATCAACGTTTCTCATTCCGAAACCAGTGACCAAAATTGAAGCATCTTTATGTAGTTTTGGTTCATCCATGTCTTCACCGACTTGCTCCTGGTCAACGTTTTTGTCTTCAAATAACTTAGTACCTTTAACCTACAGAGGAAGAAAATATGTATTTAAAGTAATTGTTTTTACTTTTAAATGAATCTTTGCTGTCTCTTTTGTCAGTAAAAGCATATTATTCAAACCAAGTAGCATTTTTGGACACATTTTAGATAATGTTTCTAATAATCGTGTCTCTCTCTACTTCTTGACACAAAATGGAAACGGTATGTAAGAAATAGGAAACATTTTCGAAATCTATATATTTTATATGGCTTTGTTACATGTGTTTCCAATATAGTGGCACTATAGCCGTTACTTGAAATGTTTCGATGCGGAATCAAAACTTTTAGAGGAAATGTTTCGAAACATTTTCTGCAATTTGTGTCCAAGACGTTCCCGTTTTCAGCAGCCACTGTTTCTAAAGGAATAATCGTGTCTCTGTTTCTTGACACAAAATAGAAACGGTATGTTACAAATAGGAAACATTTTCGAAACCTATATATTTTATATGGCTTTGTTACATGTATTTCCAATGTGGTGATACTAGCCGTTTCTGGAAATGTTTCGATGCGGATCAAAACTTTTAGAGGAAATGTTTCGAAACATTTTCCGCAATTTGTGTCGAAGATGTTCCCGTTTTCAGCAGCCACTTTTTCTAAATGTGAAGAAATAAAATACCAAACTAAAATAGTCTGTGTCTGTGTGTGAATTCCAAAATTAAAACAACCATCAACAACAATTAGGATCTTTGTTTTTGGGTTTTCGCGCACAAAAAATGTCTGGCAAAATTCATCCTTTAATTTAATAATGTACTGTCATACTTTTATTGCCCCTACTAATTATGATAATTTGTTGGTACAAAATATTTTTGTTTGAAATATAGATTTATATTTTTCCGAGAACGCGTTTTTATGAGTTCAAAAGCTCAACAGCCGATAAAAACATATATTTTCAGTTAAAATCGCTATAACTAGCCAACATGGCGGAATTTTAATTCAATATTTTATAAAATTGACATGGAGTCAGACCCATATCATCTATATTATATCATATCTCTGTCTAAAAATAGAGAAACTCGTGTTTCGAAAATGAATCGACAATAAATGGAAACCTTGTTTACAAAATGTTTCGATTTAGCGCTATCTGTGTAGAAATTTCGATCTAGTCACCTGTCAACAATGCCAATCAAAACTTCTAGTCAAAATAATTAAAACATTTTTATTATAACACAATTAAAACATAAAAACATTTATTCCATTGTGGAAAAAAGAGAAAAAAAAGTTTGCTGGTAACATTTTTCTTCGGTCTCCTGTTGGGTATGGGTAGTGGCTGTTATTACATTTATACCTAAAACAAATCATCTCTGTAATGCCTATAATAAATAATAAAATCGCATAAGAAAAATATCTGTATTTGTACTCACTATATGTACTCACCTTCTGCTTTTTTAATTATAGCATAAAAACTTGAAGAATGCTTAAATGCGAAAACTGCAAAAGAAAATCCAAACAAAAAAGTAAGGTTATGTTCTCATATTTGACAGAATATCAAATAAATTATGGAAACTTTTCAAGCACAAAACGGGTACGAAATCTTTGTAAATGTGAGCCACATCTGTTTCTTAAAAGTTTCGAAAAATTTGCCACACTAAAGATATTTATTGTTATAGCTTATGTATCGAAACCATATTTTGGTAAAATGTTGCGAAGGGAAATTAAAATAACTTTGGTTGCACATCACAATACGACCACCAGCAAACTCCATAAGACGACGCATGGTGTCATTGATGACGTGCAACGAAAGTTGTTTTAATTTCCCTTTATGTTACGAAACACATGTATCCAAAATATGAAGAAACTCTTTCGCAATGTTTCTCAGCAGAGATTTTGTTTCGATTTTGTGTCTAAAAATGCTACTTGGGAAGCTAGTTAAACTAATAGCACTGAAATGAGAATAATGATACACTGACCACAATGTTATAGTGGTGCTTAGAGATTATTGTCAGAGTCGATATAGTAGAGTTTGTATTTATTGCTTTTTTTTTGAGGTTCAAGTTAACGTCTCCTTTCTGCTGCAATGGCTAAACTGGACGAGACCTACTTGTTTACGCGGAATCCGAACCGCGGCCCTTGGCCATATCATGGTCAGTGGCCTACCGACTTAGGAATTGTCTAAATTAACTTTTACTCACGAGATATCCGATCTCATCAGGCCTTGAACCGGCGTGAATGAGCAGTGTGTATCAATAGATTTTACACTTTTCCCTTTTGGACAACAACACGATGCAAAGTTTCGAACCGGTCACCCGTCCATCCACTAGCATCGCCTTACGTCGCTTAACTTCGGTGTTCTAATGAGAACCGGTGTTTCGACGTAGCTGGGCCGTTGCCCTTTGTATTTATTGTAAGAATGTATAAATTAATTATTTTTAGTTTTAATCAGTGGCGGCTTAACCATGAGATCAAATGGTCAATGCCCCCCAAAAAAAAATCAGGATAAATTTAGAAAAACTTATTTAAATTATACTTTTTGTAAATCACTTTTTCTCCATCCTAAAATATTCAAAACTATTCCCAATTTATTCAATTTTCGCTTGAGAACATTTTATTTTACCAATTTTTTCTACTGCCGGTCAAAATTTCATTTTGTCCCTCGTTCCCGCAATGTTTTATACGTATTAAACTAAAAGTGCCGCGGCTCGTGACGCCAACAAGGTAAGGTATACTACGTATAGAAAATTATAATGGGTTAGGTGCGATAGATATAGTTTATATTGACCATGCATAATTTTATTTTGCACGACAGTTTGACGTTCAGTGGCGAAAATTTGATAGTAGCCGACGCTCTTGCGAATAAAAATTGACCGTCTATCGACACAAAGTTGCACGAAGGAGTTTTGGTTGCTTTGGTTAGCCTTTTTTGCCTTTTTTGGTTGTGAATTTTTTGTTTTTTCTCTTTTTTAGTGAGTTTTAGGCGACCAACGATACATGTGACGTCAAATTGTCGTGCAAAATAAAAATATACATTGGCCATTGACCGCGTCATTCATAAAATAAGGTAGGCAACTTTATATACACTTGTATTTGGTAGTTTACTGGCAGACGTTATAAAAAGTGGCGGTTTTTGTCTTTGTCTAGAAACCAGCGAGTTATTATTGTATTAGTTGAGAATCAATATAGTTCATTAAGACATATCGAGTACATTATTTCTATATAAATATATTACAGTATTTCAGTCATATCGCTGGAAAAATTTCGCCGTTTGGGCAGTTTGGGTGTTTATAAAAACGATGTACTTAAACAGCCGTTAAACGGTAGCCTGCTAAAATACCGTTAATATATATTGTGACGTAGTTCATGTCGGCGGAAAGTAATGCCTAGCCTTAAGCATTTTGCAAGAGCACCTGTGGGTCAGTGGCTGAGGCTGTCGCTTCGTAAGCGAATGGTCCGTGGTTCAAATCTCACGCTGACCAAGACTTTTTATATTTTTTTTTGCTTATAGCGTGATCTTATTGCATTGGTTTCACTCTTTTTGGTTGGATTGGTTTAGTTATTTGGCGGGTTGGTTAGCGTGGCTATTTGGAGGGTGTTAATTCATTGGTTAGTTGGTTATTTGGTGGGGTTGGATGATTTTTACTAATTTATATTTGTTTTTTATATTTTTATCAGTGTCGAGGTATTTCATAAAGCCGTCAAGTGCGTCACATCAACGACGTCATACCTATTAACGGCATTTTAGTAAGCTACTGTTTAACGGCAGTTTAAGTACAGCCTTATAAAAACTCAAATTATAAAACAACCTAGGTTTTTGTATCGTTTATGGCGTATAATGTTTGGTTTAGTCAATAAATCAATATTTAAATTTTTAATATCGAAAAAAAAATAGTTTTATTTGCCGTAGCTTTGTCGTAGCCGAGGGTTTGAGATGCAGCGCGAAATTTGTGTAGGTAATAATTCATAATTTTCTGGTTCTGGATAAATGGTGAACTCTTGTTGACTGATTCTGGAATAGATATTTTCAAATAGACAACATAATAATATATATTTCGAAAAACGTTTAGAGAAAGAATTGACTTGAAATATAAAAAAATGTGAAATAATGAATGATTAATGTGACTTTTAGAAATGTGTATGTGTATAATATATGTATTTATATTTTTGTGACATTATTATTTAAGTGTCTTTTAAATCCTACCGTGGAAAATTTGTGTAAAGAACATTGACTGAATTTTTAGTGAAATGGCACTAGACCACCTGTTTAAAAATGTAAGGGTAGGTTTTATTTTAACATAATTTGTATTTATTTTTAGATTTATTTTCTTTTAAATAAACGTATAAATACCTTGTAAGAAACCAATTAAATTTGATCGCGTCTTAAAAAAAATCGAAGCAATATTTTTAGATATTGACCTCCCTACAATAATAACCACGAGCCGCCACTGGTTTTAATGTTATTTTTTCTTACTCACTTCTTTTCTGTCGAAATCTGATTGTCTCGGTCGTACATAATCGTAGTCTTGATAATAGTATTCTTTAGATTTTGGTACTAGTGTTTCTTCCTGTTTACTTGTATCTTCAGCATCTCCAAAAGTTTCTTCATCTTCAGGAGCAAAAGTGGAAAACAAGTAAGTTTCTGGTAGATCATCCATATTGTTTTACAAAATAAATATATTTGTCACTATGAAGTAAGTTTCTGACAGTGATTGATTATTTTTACATAAATTGACATAAGTCAAAGTTTGAAGAGTGAAGTTACTTTTCACTCGTAACCTTTGAATAAGAAGACTAAGGAAGGAGCATATCAAAAATCTTAGGTACACCACGATGGGCCTCAAATATGGCCGACTTAAATCCCGGTTTATCAGTGTCGTTCTAATTTTATTTAAAAAATGTAAAACTATGATGTAGGGTAGACGTGGGGTAGACTCAATAATTTGTTGTTTTATTTTACGTTGTGAATAAATGTTGGTAGTTATTTAAATTGTTATAAAAATATATAATTCTAATAAAAATAGATAAGTTATAATAAGTATTTATTAACACAAACATCCGATACGCTACTGAAGCAGGTAAGTCAAATTAACGTATCTAAATTCTTTGACATCTAATCAGAGAGAAACTAATAACTAAAGTGAGAGGGCTTGTGGAATAGGGCATTTCGTAGACAAGTTTATTTTGTCACCGCGCATCCCAGAGGCGCATAGCGTTTAGGCGGTCGAAAAAGGAAGTTTTCAACTTTGCAAGTTAAACATTTGACAGGATTAATTAGATTGTCAGTAGCTTTTTCTATTTCTTAGCTCTAGAAGGAGATAACGAAAATCTGTTGATAATCGGTGTAATAAATTGTTTTTGACTGAATGTACCTGTTCTTTTAGCTTGTGAGAAGAGAAGATTATTGTCATATGATTGTCATTATTGATTATTTGAGATTCCACGATTATTTCGGCATTTTTGTAATTTTTGTTTTGTGGTTGAGATCTAGACAAAACGTTTCCTTTAAAGGTAAGTTTTTTCTCGGTAATTATTTTAAAATACCTAACAGTAATAGTGAGTGCACATAATATAGTCTAAGAACTAGCAACGTTTTCGAGAAAGTATTTTAAAACGTCTAGCTCTTTGATATATTTTTTACTATGCTCTCTGAAACAGTATGCGGCCCGTCTGGCTGCCGATATACGTTGCGTTCACTACTGCGCATCGGAAGAAGATCCTATATATTTTTTTTAATTTAGTCCTATAAATTCTAGTATTGAATATAAATCGAACATGTCTCCATAGCGCAGTGCGTAGAGTTTCCGACTACAAACCGACGATTCAGAGTTCGAATCTAAGGTCAAATACTTTTTTATTTTATTTTCGTATATATTCTGATAGTAAAGTATTAAATAATTCTGGTGATTCAAAAAAAAAAGATTTAATACTTTACTATCAGAATATAAACGAAAATAAAATAAAAAAGTTTTTGTCCTGACCCGGATTCGAACTCTGACTCCTCGGTTCGTGGTCTGAAACTCTACGCATTGAATTATGGAGACTCGGTCGGTTTATATTCAATACTAGAATTTAAATGACTAATAAAATATAGGATCTCCTTTCAATGCGCAGTTAGGGAACGCAACGTTTACCGGCAGCCAGACGGGCCGCATGATGCTCTAGAGAGCATAGTAAAAGACATATCAAAGAGCCAGACGTCTTAAAATACTTGTTTTTCCGACGTTGTTAGCTCTCGTACTAATAGTCGTACATTACTAATTTACATAGGTAAGCATAACCTATGGGATAAATCCGATTGTAAAAGTAAAACATCACATTCTTATTCTTTTCTGATACCTATGGAACGACTAGGTATTATATCTGGTATTATTACCAATTACCAGTAATACAAATTATTTTTTTCAACTGATAGGTTCTTGGTATAGAATAAAAACTATCAAAAACATTGAATACCTACGGGATACTCTGTGCGAGCTCCCAACCGTGCTTCCCTGTTTACTCCCAACCAAGTTAGATAAAAATGATATTGAAGATTGCAGCCTTGAGATGGAGTATGGCAAGGAGTATGGACTCCACTACGACATGTACAGAAACGGATTACCTAAACTGGTAAGCATGTAAAATTAAACCTTAATGAAAAATTGAACTTATTTATTTTTAATTCAAGAAAAGGCATGACAACCCACAACCCACCAAAGACCTGGTAAATGAATTCTGCAAAAACTGAAAACCAAACTAAGTTAAATAAATTATTATGTTCCTACACAGTATTTTATTTATAGGTTTTAAAGTCTAATTATAAATTTTCGTTGTCAACAAAATAATTTAAAAAACTACGAAGATTTCTTATTATAAATTTGAAAGATTAAGATTCGGTTCAAATACATAAATTTTAAATTTTTGGCGCCAGTTTATAGGTATGAATGCAACCTACTATATCGATAATGCGCTCATAGTTCGGGTTAGACGCTAAAGGCCGCGCCACTAACACAGTCTTCAGAAATTAACGTTGATCGGTCTCTCTCACTTTAGTTATTAGTGTTCTCTCTGGTTGTCAGTTTTGAGTCAATATTTCTTAATTCTCTTTCGTGTCGATTGCTGATTGAATTGGAGCCAGAAATGGCTCAAAACGAAATACGTAAATTACGAACAGATATTCAGGCTGAGGCGACAAACGCCATATCCAAACTACTTCCATTTAAATCCCGAATAACTTATGAAAAGGAATACAAGAATTTTCAAAAATGGAAGCAATTAAAAAACGTGCGAGAAGAAATAAAGTTTTAACCTATCCTCGCTGTTAAAGTATCATTTAATCTACCCTTGCGGTTAAAGTACTATTTTATCTACTATTTTTGATAGATATAAGGCAATTTTAACAGTTGCTATGGAAAAAAATAGCAGGTACAGGATGGGCCAAATTGGACACTTTTAAAGGGAAACACCTTTTTCTATATTTCATCTCGCCAGTGGGAGGGGGTCAAAAAATGCTTAAAACCTCCTCACGTAATTTATGGACGCTCCCATGAGAGAAATTTTTTAGAATACCATAAATCAATTTTTTTAAACACAAATTAAAAGTATTATTATATTTACTATAGCAAATATATTAATTTTTCATTATTTCCGTAATACTTTTTTAAATTTACTAGGCATTGTATCTGTGTTAATATGTTCACCTTTGAATAATTACTCAACGCAACATTCGCACCTGTGTAGAAATGTCATAAAATATTTAACGACCGACACAGGCATGAATTAAACAATAGCAAAGAATGACATAAATATTATACACAATGATTCATTCAACATCAGGTCTTATTATATTGTTAATTTTACAATGTAAAATGTCTGTAGTGTTTGTATTTTTACTAAGTGTGCCTCTCACATTGAAAACCTCTAACTGAAATCGCAAGAGCCTTATTGTGGCTTTGTTACAGAACTTATTTCTACTATTTTTTTCTCCAAGCAATTAAAGCACTTAGATCGCCTAATGAACTATCCAACCCAATTTTAGTAAATAAATGGACTTTCTGATTGACGACCAAGCAACAAGTACAACGCATCTATACTAATACTAGCGTGTACCAGCGTCTTCGTTCGCGTCGAATTAATCATTTGTAATGTTAATATTAATTAAATTAAATTAATTATATTAATAATTCCAGTTCCACGAGGGTGAAACCACCCCTCAAATATTACAATATTTTTTATTTAAAAAACGGTCAAGTTTCCGAAAAAACGCTTAAACACGTATATTTTATTTTGTTTTTTACATATTTTAAGATTTTTTAAAAATGTATACAGGGAGTTTCGAAAAATCTGGTCATTGATTAATCACGATCCTGCTTAAAGCGCTTGACGTCAAAAGCTGATTTTTGGAAAACAGATTGACTTTAGGGTGTAGAGGTTCGATAAGAAGGGATTTTTCGAAGCTCGAATTCTCAGGGGGTGAAACTATTCCTCAAATATTAAAATATTTTATATTTAAAAACCGGTGAGTTTTTCGAAAAAACTTTTACATATTTTAAGATTTTTTATAAATTTATACAGGGTGTTTCATAAAATATGACCATTGAGTAATCACGATTCTGCTTAAACTGCTTGACGTTTAAAGCTGATTTTTGGCAAACGGATTGACTGTGGGGTGTAGAGGTTCGATAAGGAGGGGTTTCTCGAATCTCAAATTCCAAGAGGGTGAAAATGCCCCTCAAATATTACAATATTTGTTATTTAAAAACAGCTAGTCTTTCGGGAAAACGCTTGGACAAGCATAATTTATTTGGTTTTTTACATATTTTGAAATTTTTTAAAAAATCATACAGGGTGTTCCAAAAAGTTGGGTAATTTCTTAACCACGATTCTGCTTAAACTGCTTGACGTAAAAAGCTTATTTTTGGCAAAAAGCAGGATTTTTTGAAAGTCAAATTACAACGAGATGAAACTACCCCTCAAATATTACCAAGTTATATAATAATATCGCCATATTGTTTTTTCTCATGCTGACATAAATGTGAGAAAATTTTATCCAGTTTGTGTGTTAATGGAAGTTCTTGCTTTGCTTTATCATCACCATTACAAATGATTAATTCGACGCAAACGAAGTCGCGGGTACACGCTAGTAAGTTATAAAAATATATACTAATATATGCTTAACAAACAAACTGGATAAAATTTTCTCACATTTATGTCAGCATGAGAAAAAAACAATATGACGATATTATTCTACTAAGGGTCGGCATTTTTGGTCTTGGGTACCGGTTTTCATGTGTACGAAGAGTACGGTCAACACGCTCAGTAAAATAAGATGTACTGAATAAAGACAGAAGGCGAGTATTTTTCCAAGCTCATGGAATCTAGCATCAGATTAAGTAGTTATGTAATAAATACTTCGTATTTTTGCTCACTCCGACTTACTAGATTGCCATAACGACTCACTCCTATACATGTAGATGCCGACCTAAAGGTTCGCTTGCCAGCGGGGTATAACTTGGTAATATTTGAGGGGTAGTTTCATCTCGTTGGAATTTGACTTTCGAAAAATCCGTTTGCCAAAAATCAGCTTTTTACGTGAAACAGTTTAAGGAGAAGCGTGGTTAATCAATTACTCAACTTTTTGGAACACCGTGTATGATTTTATTAAAAAATTTCAAAATATGTAAAAAAAAACAAAATAAATTATGCGTGTCC